AACAGCTAGAAACTTCGTTCTTGCGCCATTCGACGCAGCTCGCCGTACTCTACTTTTGGTATAAAAATGAAGGCATGTGGTTAAAGACTCGAATTTTTAGAACCGTTTTTCGGCGCGTGACGCTGTGACAAAAAAAGGCCCTAAATTCGAAGTGCTTCTCATTAAAAGCTTATTTGCTGCGACAAATTTGATCGAATTTTAATTCGTTATTTTTTTCTCCATGGCGCCCGACGTCCTTCTCTCCTCTTTTGACCGAGAACTTCAACAACCTCGACAACAACACGAATATCCTTACCTTTGGAAAATTCGTCCTGTTATCGGTTTTGAAAAATTTCTTTTTACAAATGCACAGGATGCTGATGCTAAAGCCTGCCGTCGAAAGAAGAAACAACTCACACGTCAAGCTCTAGTTGACCCGGCACGTACAATCATACCTCGAGATGCAATGGGCAGACGTCAACATTTTAGCAGTGCTGCTCAGAGTCGAAAGGTGAGCGCGCCACCAGCAGGAAAACAAGCGCCACTTGATGCAGGTGATTTTGAAACGACTGAGAGTACGAAGGATCCTGCTACTACTGATTAAAACGGCTACTACGGTGATTTGAAACGGCAAGGTAGTCTACTGTCACTAATTGAGGGACATTACGTTTCTCCAGCAAAATACTATCCAAATTATTTACCGACAAAGAAACATTTTCCAGCCTGGACAATTAAAGATGTGCACAAGCCGAAAGACGAAATTGTAAAATTGAGAATACCCGGTCCACAGACTTACGAAGTGAAAGAGGAGAGGGAGTGTGATCCAGGTTGGACTCAGATTGGGTGAGTAAAACACAATTAAATCCGCGGGAAAATATGAAGTGGGTATCGAAAGACAAAAATTCAGCTTATTTCATTGATGTTTTGATATATAACGGGTGACACGAAAGTTTTTGCACAAAAAGTTCGCCGATTTTCTCTATCCATGAAAATATTTTAAATGAACTAAACTATATCGAACAGAACCAAAATTTTGTGCTCTTTCAGTTTCTGAACTCAGATATTTTTGATCTGTTTTTCTTCAGGAGTAGTAAAGTAATCTTTAAAAGGCTCGAACAAATTTGTTTGAACGAAAATTTTTCTCGCACTTTTTTGCATTTTTGTTACTGCGCTTCGAAACTGATACTTAGAGCTGCTATTTTGTTAGGAGGTTATACAGCGGCCTCTGCTCTACAAAATGCATTATATGATTTTTTTTTATATTCCAGCATGTATCTTAATTTCCGTTTTTCAAAAAAGTCATTTTTTCAAAACATGCCTTTTGTTACAAAAAGCGTTTCTCCCCTATTTTTCGCCGAAATCAAGTTTCAGGAAAACGAAAACTGAAATAGATGACCTACAAATAAAAAAATCTAAATGTATACACTTTTAGGAGTAGAGACCGCTCCACACTGAGCTCGAAGAGAGTATTAATACCTAAGCTGCCTACAGGAACTGAATAAACGATAGGAAAATTAGAAATTGGGAAGAAATAGGAAAATCATTCACCAGTAGGCATATACATAATACCAAAAATTCAAATTTTTTAAAATGCTGCCAAGTGAAGTACTGTAGCAAAACACTTAGCGCTAAACGGCTTGACTTTCAGTTTTATATCAGAAACTGCTAAAAACGAAAGATTAAAGAAAAAAATGTGAACGAGAAATTCACGCTGTACTCAGATTTGATAGACTTTTTATTATGAAATCTAATAAGCCTTCTTCAAAGTTTTTAAGCATTTGACAAAAAACAGAAACACAGCTTTAATTTTTTTAATGCGGTGCGAAGCGAAGCGTAGCAAACCGCACTGTAGTAGTCATCCGCGTCTTTTTTTTCTCGACGGCAAACCTCATTTTCTCACGTACTTTTGATTATGTTACACTTATCGAAACTTAAAATTTCAAAAACGATTAGAGAGAGCAGACACTGAATGTGAAAGTCTCCTCTCTTGCGTTCTGTCGAAATACCATGAGATAATTAATTGAGTCATCGTGCTCATCCGTTCTGTTGTGAAAAAACAGTTATTTGTAAGCCAAAGATTTTGTAACCTGTGAAATATGCCGTTTCAATGTGAAAATGTGAAATATTTCTGCTTCGCACCGCATTTCCAACTCTCACGTCAGTGGGATTGCCGTCTAGGTTTCTATGGCGCAATCTGAGCTTACGAATTTTGAATCCATTTTTGTTCAAGAGTAGTGAAAAAATCTTCAAAAGGCTCGAAAAAATCGTTTGAACTGTGCAAAAACAGCTTTTCTGTTACCAATATAGCTTCCTTCAAGAAGACGCTACAAGTAATTTGAGACGGCAGTTTTGTGGAGCGATCTCTACTCCTAAAAGTGTATACATTTAGATTTTTTTATTTGTACTTCTAGATCACTTCCACTCTCGTTGTAAAAGTCGTCTTGTTCATCAAGCCACTTGTATTGCTTTCTTGGTCAGAATCCATTGAATTCTGTTTTTTTGACGAATTTTATTGTAGGAATGAATCAGCAAGAAATGAGATGCTTTACTCCGGTTGTACGCGAATTTTCATAAATGTTTATTCGCCGGAACACTACCTTATATACTTACGAGGAAAGGCCACCAAGTGTTCCCTCGCTTTTGACCTGAGACTCAGTTGACCGGGGGTAATCGAGCATGCTGATTCCGAATTTCATAATGGTTTGGGCTAATTGTGACTTTAAAGCCTCGGTTTTTGAAGATCTTGGTTTTCAAGCCGAAAAACCATTTGCGCTAAAAAAATTTTTGATCTGTCCAATTGATAGAGTACGTCGTGAAATCTACAGAAAAGCACTTTTCAAGGTTTCATGAGAGGTTCTGAGCGAGTTTTTTACATCAAAAACTCAAAAGAAGCGAGGAAAAACCGGCTTTTTTACGCAGTATAGTGCAAAAATTGCTCTTTTTTTGCCTTGTTTTTCAACTTATCGAAGGCCTTTAATCAATATCGCTGCATATATGTGTTAGTCATGACACACTCCAACTTTACTGGCATTTAATAGTCTTATGCACAATCAGTTGAGTGCAGATGTTTTTGTTCCAATGATAAAATACTCTTGGTTTGCAAGCGGCTTAACAAAAGATGACCGAACACCCTTTCGGAATGTTAAAAAAGTTTGCTTTCCAAGTGAGCAGGTTCATGAACAGTGTCAAGAAAAAGATTGCACTGAATCGGTTTTTATTAACTGTGCTCGATGTTCATTAAAATTGTGTTTTCAACGTTTTTTCGTTAGTTACCATTTTCATTGAAGAAATAGCTAATACTTTAAAAGCTCTTAATTTTTATGCCATGTATAACACATATACGCAGCGATATTGATTAAAGGCCTTCGATAAGTTGAAAAACAAGGCAAAAAAAGAGCAATTTTTGCACTATACTGCGTAAAAAAGCCGGTTTTTCCTCTCTTCTTTTAAGTTTTTGATGTAAAAAACTCGCTCAGAACCTCTCATGAAACCTTGAAAAGTGCTTTTCTGTAGATTTCGCGACGTACTCTATCAATTGGACAGATCAAAAATTTATTAGCTATTTAAAAAGGGTTACCGGTTTTTCGAAAAAAGAGATCCTTCCAACTTTTAGGAATTTCTTCTACTGATAATGTGTACCGAGAAGGCTAAAGATCAGATATTCTTGATCAGCGTGAAATTCTCTATCAAATGATGTATGGTTAAGACAAAAATAAAATAGTGCTGTAACTTCCAATTTAGAGCGCCTTATAAGGCCGAAAGAGTTGTTTGATGTTGTGAATGAAAATGCTTGGGCTGGATGATACACCTGATTACTGGGCCATTCGGGTGCTGAAACTAGCATCGTCGTTGCTACACCACCACAATCAAACTCAACATGAAAAGGCCTTGATAATATGGTTCTTGTGGATAATACTGGATATAATTGTGGTGAGAAGACACGAGTTTTAAGAGTCAAGCATTTAATGCTAATTCTCTCCTTTCCCGAACCAAAAATCCCAAATAATTCAAAAAGGGGGTTGGTCTCTGCAAACCACGAGTCATCGTGACTCTTAAAACTGCTGCTTTCTGAAGTAAGGTCATTTTTGACGTACGAAGACGTTTCGGTACTTTCTAATTTTTTTAATGTCGTTTATAAGTTTACAAGTATGTTCTGTTAAATGTTATTTTCAACTATTGTTACGAAAATTTCACTATCAAAAGCATTTCACCCTCAATCAGATGACCAGAGTGAAAGAATGACCATGTTATTGTAGAAATAACGTATCGGTGTGTTGTACAAAATATAAAGAAATTAGATGAATTGTTAACATCAATTGAATTAACCTATAACAATTCCGTATACGTCTCAACAAGTTTTTCACCATTCTTTCTCAATGCAGGTCGTCATCCACGCGTCGCTTACGCAACATGGCTTCTAATAATCAAGAGAACCTGCCATTCGAGAATGTATCGTGTATTTTTACCCTTCCGGTTGTCTTTGCGACGATCGAAGGTTAACTAAGCGTCGGAGATGAACGTTACTTGTATTCACCAATAGAATATGTTTGTCCAATCGATACGATGATATTATTTACTCACTACCATATCCACTTACCGAAACCAAATAATTTTGTTTACTTATTGGATTGGCGCTATAGAAAATGGCAGACAGTTTTAAAAGAATTTTGCTTTATTTCCAACGAGCATTGAATGGAAATAAACTTTACTTTGTACAGTAGCACTGGGATTTCTAGTGCTCGAGACAATTGTAACATATTTCCTAACTGTTGCCTACGTCTTATTAATGAAGCTTATTAATATAAATTATTGAATTGCTTCAAGTCTCATCTAATTATTCTTTTTCTTTTCAAATAATTTATAGCATCGAACGACATTATATCGTCGTGATTCAGTATCACCATCCGCAACTCTACAACACCATCAATCCGACGTATAAAAGTAGAGATGTTACTTTTAGTCATGAATCTGCCAAACGACTGCAAAATTGTATTAGCCCAGAAGGAATACAAAAACCAAGATAATCTGATAATTATCTTATTGTTATGCTCTTGTTCTACTACAAAGTTGTCTAGGCCTTTTTTGAACTTTTTTGAGTTTTTTTATATGTAGCATGATTAGGCATGTCGAATGAAGTTGGACTAGAATCGAATGTTGATGAAGATGTATAGTGTATATTTTTCTCTATTCTTTTTTATAAATTTTGACAAACATAAAATTTTTTACTTTTGATCGTTAATATTGTTAATATTACATGGACAGAATTTTGAGCCATCACTATTTTCTTTACTTGCTTCATTAATACTTACAGCGTGTTTTGCTGTATTAGGCTTAGTATCTGCAAGTATTCATCTCAGTAAATATAAATATAAATGGCATAATTATAAATGTACAATTTATTATAATCAAATACAGAAAAATAAAAAGGAATATTTCAGAACCAGTTAACTTTTTTTTCTCGCATCGATACATTTTTGAGATAGTTTGGGATAAATCATTGTTTTTCATATGTCTGTGAAAACCGATGGTTGAAGACGAAATTTTGTGCGAACTGCTTCTACAAAGAAGAAAACAAAGTTTCAAAGATGTCATAATTTAGGACAC